TACCTGGCTGCAGCTCCAGCTTGCCCGGTCCCCGAGCACCGATAGTTTATGTCATCCAAACGTGCGGCCCCACACTCGAGCTACACAAAACACAAACAAACTTAGCAAAACGAGTTGCCTCCGAGTTCCTTCCCTTGGGGTTCCTCAGTTAAGCTCCTGCCATTCAGCCAGCGACCCCAGCAGTGACTGCCCAACGCAACCAGCAGCACAGACCTAGATCTGGTTCTTTCTGTGAACCAAGCCCTCCTCTATCATTCCATTCTGCACAGAGACTGTAAGGCCCCTCATCCTTCAAGTCTCCGCTAGCCTGGACACACTCCACAGCTTTCCGCATCCCCAGCTTCAGGATTTACTCTTGAGTACCTGGGAAGCTCCTTAACACGAGGCTGCTGATTCCCATTGGCAGGGGTGCACTGGGACCCCAGTGTCCCATTTCCCAAGTGCCTTCAGCACATAACTGAGCAGCCTCATGCAGTGATGCCGTGCCAGCTCCTGCTGCCGCCTTGCCCGCTGCCAGAGGCAGGTGAATACAGGGATTTTGGGGGCAGTCTTTGGTGTGGATCCTGCTAAGGATGCTCTGGCTTTGGCTGCCAGCTGCTGTGGCACTGCTGGGTACCTGGGGGCAGGACTGCCTTTTTATTCTGCCTTTGCATGATGCCTGGCAACACGCAGGCGTTGGGCTATGAGTGGTGCTTCTAGGGACTTCTGTAACACAGATAATAATGTTTATTAAAGTAGACTTGGGAAATGAAGGCTGAGGTAGCCCAGGAACATGTTTGACAATGAGGATGAAGCATGCAAGTTAGAGCTCTTCTCTATGGCTAACTTACTTTCCCTGAGGTCTGCTGTGTATGTATGCATTTTAAGTGGTTCATACACTAGTATAGTATTTTACTAATGCATGCACTCTAGAAAATAAAAATCACACAGGTTCCTAGAGCAAAACTAACAGCCCTTGTCTGTATTTCTGAATGTCCTTTCTTTTTTTCTATTTTTTTAAAAACTCACAAAGAAAGGAGAAACACCTGAGACTTGAGTAAAGGAGTAGAAGAAAGGATGGTAAAAGTCAGCTGGAAAACTTTCATGACAAGTATCTAAAATAATTAATCATTTCTAACTTATAAATATTTGAGATATATTTTCTGCATTTGTTTTTGCTGGCAGAAGCTGTTTTCAAATTAAGGTGGTTTCAGAGCTATTCCATCACTTGGCAGTGTGTCACCACGACCTGCACTCACCTCCTCCTTCCATCCCTCCGTGGAGCTTGCTGAATCTCTTTCAAAAAAATCCTGCCCAAGTTAATCAATTCTGCCCAATGCTCCACTCTCCCTCTACCACCTCTTCCTTGGAGAGGCTGGGAAAAACAAGTCCTGGCACAGAAAATGCCAGCTTATCACTTCAGCATCTCTTTTTCCAACTGTATTTTTGCATCCACATGGCAATGGCGTTAAGATGGAACATTTAGGTATGTAATAATCTTTCAGCTTGAACAGAGTCAAGGCAAATCCTAAGAACAGAAAAGATTTCTTATTTAAATAGTGTGGTTGTTGAGGTCCTGAGTTTATGTGCAGATTTTTATACATTTACATTTAGAGTCAAGCAGCATCATAGCAGGACAGCTTTCCAGGAGGAGATGAAGCAGTGAATATCAATCATCTGTGCCTTAAAAATATGACAGTAAGAAAACTTCGATATAAAGTATAAAGGAGATGCAGGTATCTATTTCCAACAAACACAGAGTGGATTTGAACCTGGAACTCGGGGCTTAATAACAGAGCAGGTTAAATGTTGCCTGAGTTTCATTAGGTCTGTTTCACTTCTGGTACAAATCTAGTGTTCAAGAGATTGGAGGTATAAATACTGAAAAAAACAGAAGCAAAGGTTTTGGACGTCCCACCAAGGCCGCATTTGCACTGAGTTGATGTCTTGTCTTCTTGGTTGCTCTCCAAGGCAGTGTGGTGACATCACCCCCTTGCTGCCACACTGTGCCAGGGCACCTTGTTTTTCTAGGGCAGTAACTGCTTCTCAAGATTGCACTGCCGTAATTTAAACTAGAATACGCTCCTTACTTTGCCATGCTTTTGTATTGCTTCTTTTCTGTACAAGTTTTGTTTCTGCGTATGTATCCCTTACCAGAGGGACAGACTTGTGTGCTGGCATGGTTCTGGTCAGGTTCTGTGTGGAGCAGTGCAAGTTTCAAGGTAAGATAGCTGAGTGATCCGAGTAAATTTCAAAGTACTGGGTAAAATGAAAAATGGCAAAATTTGAGTTTTTCATGACAATGCTGTTACAGAGACCATTTTTAGCTAGTAAATGTCACCCATCTCTGCACCAAAATACAATCCAGGTAGCTCATAGAGGGTCTTTCAACCACAAAAAAAAGTTAATCTGCTTTAAAAGAGTCTTGAGACTTTGTCATTTATTATCTTCAGAATTCATGAAAGTGACTCTTCCCTGGTTTGGTAATAATTCAGTATTCCAGCTTTACAAAATATTTTACTATTCAGTGTTGTTAGGAAGCAGGGGGGAAACAGAACAGTAAATAGTTTTTGACTGTATTTTTCTTATTAAATCCCTTTTGTTTGCTTACTCTGCACGCCCTGCAACCTGCAAAATTTTAAGTGCCTGACAAGCACTGCATGTCTACACAGGCTGTACATCCCCTGTGTGCTGAGCTGACCAGCTGTGAACTAGAAGACTTTTGACAGCTTATTAGTCCAGGGCTGCACTGAGCTACTGAAGTTGTATGACTTCTCATTCAGCTGGCTTGCCCTTAGCGAACTTGGAACACGAGCAAAACAAGCTCAGAGGTATCTGTTCAGCCCAGTGCACAGAGATCCACAGCAGCTGAGTGGGAATTACACGGCATTTCGACTGTGAAAGTCCAAAGTCGCAATCCTGGATATCCCCCTCAGCTGTCACTGAGTTTGAGGAGTTGGCTCTATTCTATACAACGTTGGTATTTTACTTCAACCATGCATATCTCAGTCTGAGTGAGATCCAAAACGTGTCCCTTTACCAAAACCACCAGAAGCCTTGATTAAAACAGGTGGTTTAGAACATGGCTAACAGGTAGTGACATGACCTACGACTGCCCTGCGTTCCCTCCTCCGGGCCTCACAAAAGCTTAGGGCATACTCAATTCTCTTGTTGGGAAGGTTGAAACCTGTATTTCCTACCTCCCAACAGACCGCAGGAGTATATATTCCATGCTCCTTAGTACTTATAAAAGTATCTGAGAAGCAGATTACAAATGGTGTCAGGATTAGATCGTGGTTCTACAAGAACAAAGCTTTTACAGTGAAGTTTTAAACATGTCATTTCAAAACGTGACTCTTGATGTGGGTGCAAAGAAAACAGCACAGTGAGGATCAGATCACTGCATTTCTTTGCATCACCTTAAAGAAAAAAAATAAAGCTAGTACAACTATCAATTTTTGTTGTTTTACACCTCCTGGCAAGCATTAATTCTATGGCATTAATTCTGTAGAAGTAATCTGTTTTATATGAAAGTGGTAAATTCCAGTCTAGTCACAGTTAAGTTCTAAAATGGCAGCTACTTTAAAAAAATAAGACCCTACTTAGTTCAGTTTTAGGTCTTGTTCAGACCAGGGTGTGGAAATTAGGACTCATGCAAAGATGGATTGCCCTCAGCCCAATGTCAAGTACAAAAAGGAGCTCACTGCCTACTAAAAACCAGGAAACTCTTTGTAAACACTTTTTATTGACAATGTTTTGCAAACACCTTAGTTCACAAGTACTGTGCAGAAGCTTCATCCTTTTTAAAACAAAATGTATTTCTTGTCATGAATTAAAGTTTGTGGATTAACACTAAGTGCCTGTCTGCACACATCTGTAAATACTTTCCCCTGAAGCATAAGCAAAACAAATAATTTTGTATAAAAATTCACAGAAGCAGTAGAAAACTGTTTTTCAGCTGTGTCCCTCTTACTGCTGGTTTCAATACAAAGTGAAGACACTTGGATATTCTTCAATAATATAGGCAGTAGTCTTCAAATTACATCTACTGTTTGGTCTCTGTTTCCAGCTGAGTTTCTTGAGATTCTTCAGCTTCGGAAAGTTTTTCATCATCTAAAATTCAATATTACTGTTAGTCAAATATCCTTGGTTATATTTGCAGACTACATTGTAGTGCTGTGTCCCACTTAAATATTTACACTGATTGCCTTAAATGTGTAGTTGAGTATCTCATTATACAAAATGCTATGTTTAAGAAAAAAAACAAAAATAAAATTCTTCAAAGTTGTTAAGGCTGTTATCTGGAACAGCTACTATGGGAAACATGGGGTAAACAGTACCAGACTGCTTCAAATGACACACCTTCTCTTTGCCTATCAATGATCTGTCTCAAACTGAATCTGTGCCTTCCACTAAAATGTTACTTCCTTCCAAAATTCTAGAAGCTGAAAGGTAATCTATACATTCATGTGAAAATGTATTTTACAGACTAATAGCTAAGCAAGTGTTAGTAACACATAATAACAATAACCTTCTGCTGAAGTGCACCTAGGATTAACAGTTCATTCTGCTTAAGATCTAGACAGCCTTAGAGAATGAAAGTCTGCTCTTACAGCCACCTCTGTATGTTAATCGGGTCACGCTCAAAGGCTATACCAATTACTCTGTCTTGGAAAGACACCAAAAAAAACCAGCAAACAATATTTTTAAAAAATATTATTCACATTAGAGCATGAAAAGTAAGCGTTGATTTGGAAATATTAAGTATTTGTATGACAAAAGACAAGTATGACCGAATTCCTGACTTTAGCTCTTGTGTACAACAGTTGTAGTCCCTGCTCTATTACTGACTCACTGTCTGAGCAGGTAAGTCATTTAGCTTTCCTGTATTCCAGTTTCTTTTTAGCAAAGCCTCAAACGATACCATGATGGCAGTGAAATGTTCAAAACTACGAAAACAGGAATGATACAAGTAAGTTTGGAAACTATGCACATGAATACTCTTCTGTAAGAAATACTTATTCTGTTTAAAAAAGTCAAATTGTTCTTCTTCATCCCCACATGTTAAAGAAGTCTGTTGCCTACAGATTAATCTGAAGCTAATCAGGAAATGACAGTGACCAGCTTTTAGAAGAAAAAAAAATCTAAGCAGTCTCAGGCTCTGGACTGCTACTGGGAAAAAAAATGCTGTCAATGCAAGAGCTCACCAACCTCAATGGCACAGAGCAAGCCCACTGCTGGACGCTGTGATTCCTTTTGATCTGCTGAAACCCAATCCGGTTATAGATGTATTACCTAACAATAACACTTACTTTCCAGAGTTTGCTGAAGTTCATGGATGGTGCTCAGGAGAACATGAAACTGCTTTCTTCTCAGCTCCAGCTGGAATGGTAAAATATATACTTTAGGAAACAAAGAGCACAGCAGCCAAACAACCCACAGCAGATGCTCCCTTAATTGTGTTCCTAACAAATAATTATCTAACAGTCTCTGTGAAAAACTTACCTTATCTTCAACATTTTCTTTAATGTGAGAAAGATGTTGCAGTTCTTTTCCCAAAGCTTCTAGCTGCCTGAAAAGAAATTGCCATAGTATTTTTAAAAAGTTCTGTAAAATTCTGGGAAAATAGATTTGAACTAAGAGAAGGAAAAAGAACCACTAAATAAACAGCATAGGTAAAGAAAGCATAACAAATGAAATGGCATAGAGACATAAATGTTACACTACTATGTCATAAATTGACCAAACACATAGTCAAGTACCTTATCTGGCCTGACCAGAGTATGGGATAACACAGAGGCTTTGCAACAGGCATGTATGGAATAATCCACATTTTTAAAGAAACTGCATGATATAGCTTATGCTATTTTTCTGAAGTAGTAATAGGGAACCACAAAAGGCCTCCAGTCCTAAGTAACTCACAATTGCTGGGAAAAAGGTCTGGTTTAGTGCTATCTAATGGTGGTGTCTTTTTCTGAGCCCGTATGCTTGGTACCTTGAGGGAATGCCTGAAAGAGGGTTGGGTGTGACATTATCCCTCCCGGTAATGGAAACAGGCTGACAGCTTATAGGATGAAACAGTGATTTTGCTAGTATTTGGTTTCTAGTTTCTGAAAGCCTTCTATTTGGCTAAATCTTGCTGTTTATACCATGCTGTCAGGTACAGACTGTGGGAAGATATACAATTTTTTTTTCTAGTAACATCCAAGCTACATCTGGAATTTTACTTCTTTTACTTTCTGCTCTGGAGAATCTTTGCCTAGCCTTCTCATTTTTGTTTCCTTTTCTAAGGCTCAGCATCATTCTTGGTCCTCTTAACAGCTCTTCTGATGCTGCAACTAATTACACTGTGGGCACTGCCACTTCCTGAACTGGCTCCTGTGCATTACTTCTGACTAAGCTGATAACACCTTCTCTTCTTTTGTGCTGTGTGACTGGTTGTTCCAAGAAACAGCCCCTTAAAAGCATAAACAAACTATTTCTCTGAACTTAGTCCTATTGTGCCACATGACTTGCAAAAGCTATAAATGTAACTCTCGCAATAAACCATGACATTTCTCCTCACGAGAAGTTTTCTCAAGTGTTTTTAGTGATTAAGAGTTCCATGAAAAGCGTGACATTGTTAATGAGGCTTCCTTCATTCTGATTTAAGAGTAGTCCCTCTTGATTTATCGTATGACTTTCTGCATGCTTTCCTCAAACTGGAGAGAAAGGAAGCTTTGTAATTAAAACATTGGATGAAAACTTAATCTATTTAAAGTCTATTCACTTGGAGTGGTCAGTTAAAGCTAAAATACCTATAAAAGGGAGCTCATTTAAAACAGTTCCATTTTGTTACTATGTCCTATTTCCCCATCTGTAAAATGGGGGAATCACACTCTGCTATAGTTCAAGTCTGTGTCTTGGACTGCAGATACGAAAGACTAAGGACAAAAGTACATGCATTGTAGCCATTCTTCCAGGGGATGAACACACTGGTATTTCTACCTGTAATATAATTTTATCATCTCTTTAGAAGATTAAGCTTAAAAAAAGACAAAATACCCAATTTAGTAGCTGTAACTTACTACTTCTAGCTTTGCTTGAGAAATTTACGCTTGGATGTGTTAAACAAAATAAGAATGACGACTCCAGACCTAAACAATCTGGCATCCTCTAAGAAAAAAGTATTATCATTTAGTTGTTTTCATTCTTAATTATCTGAAAAAATTCACTTTTGATAGATCTTTACTATGAAGCTTCATTTGATAAACAACACATGCTGACTAATGAGGTAAGAAGTAGTCAAGCCTCATGAAAACTGCCTGTAATAATCAAAGCTGTGGTAGTGAAATAAAGGCACAGAAAAACAATGTACAGGAAAGAAAGTTGTGACATATTCTCAGTGGCTTATACCTACAAAAATGCTGTTATTATAGTAATAATACTATTTTTAAAATTTTCCTTTTGCAATAAAAGGCCATAGAATGTGAAAAGACAGCCTCCTCCTGCAATTTCACTGAAAGTGGACAATAGGATAGGTGCAAGCCGTGCTTAAATAAGAACAAGTAACCCCACGTTACATCTTTAATTGGGTTAAGAAGAACAAACTCATAGATGCAATGAGTCCTGGAATATTTCTGTGGCTTGATAAAGTTAAAAAGATTATGTCCCCATAACTGCCCAAAATGACCCAAAAGCACAGTCAGCGATCCTAATTCAACAACGGCACAAGCGATACTGCAAGTTACAAGCAAGATGAGCTGGACAACAGGTAGGTCTAACCTGCATGCCAGGGCAGGTTATACTGTGGTACATAACGTAGTAATTTATAACCGGGCATGCAGGAACTACAACTACAAGGAAAGCAAAAAAAAAAACCCCAACCCTAAGAGCTTTCTCCATCTTTCTCTCGTTCCACCTTACTTGCTTGTGTGTTATGTATTTTGCATGACTACTGAAACCCGTGCTGGTGCACTTTACAGCAGTTCCCCACTCTCTTTTTCTGAGCAACTGGTCCCTGGTAAACTGACATCAGATGCATATTTACATCTGAGTTCACTTATTCACCTTAGCAATGGCAAAATTTCAAACACAAATCGATTAGCAATGCTTCTGAACCCATACATATAGAGATTAATTAAATAAAGCTGATAAGGGCACAATTTTAAAATTAAACCCAAGTTTTTCTTGTGTCAAAAGAAATTCTATAGAAGTGAGGAAAGGTCAAACTGAAACCAAGGAAATGTCAAATCTGGTAACTTCCAGCTTACCGGCCTATTGTAATTTAATGTAGGCTCATACTTACTTCAGTGTTTCATGTCTGTCCGGATGGTGTTGTATGACTTTGGCCAATGCATCATATTCTGAAAGAAATTTTACAACTTAGTCTAAATAATTCTGAAATTATAGATTCAAGAACCAAAAATCAGGTACCAAAGAACATTGGATTCTTTCTCCTTCTTGAAAAACTGTTTTAACATTTTTCAAGTTTGTACACAACACCTTACATATATAAAATAGTTCTTGCAAACATCCATATATAAAAGTGTACATAAATTACACCATGCTATAACATTTCAAAGTAGATTATTACATAAGAGATGATGATTCATAAGCACCGGTTTTAGAGACAATCTAACGTGTATGTACAGAAAATGGTGCTGATGTTACACGTAAGCATTTAAGAGTTTTAGAAAAAAGTAAAGAATGCTGCATGAGAAACAACAAGATTTTTTAAACTGTATTACACATTAACAATATTGTATATATGCAACTAACATAGCCATTTCCTGATAGCAAGATTGTACATATGCCAAATACCTAATTCACATGGAAAAATCTGTACTGCAGGCTGGACAGAACGTATCAAAAAGCAAACACTTCAGATCTACGCTTGTGAAGACACAAGAACTCTACATTCCTACTGGTTAAGGTTCTTTTAATTTCCCGTTGAGTCTAAAATTATCCACAAAATTGATCAGTTGTATTCAAAACCTTTCATTTGTTATACTTTTAAACATTTTCTTTTTTGCATTTCATTTATCAAGAAAAAAAACTTGCTTCTCCTCAATTGCTATTTTCTTTGATAAGACAGTGATACAGGGAAATGCTTTAAGTTTCAATTGAAATTATCTCACAACAGGTATTCCGTAAGGACTCAAACAGAGTTGCTGGGTGTGTAACTGGCACTGCTGTCTGTGTACACTAAGCCATTACCTTCACTTAAGGGCTAAAAGAATATAACTGTGTGATCTTTGGTGCTGGGTGTAAGTACTCACTGTCTTGCTGTTAATAACTTGCTTTAGTTCTTCTCAAGTCACCTGAATTGTCACAGGATGCTTTTGGGGGTTTTCTTTGGCCTGAAAACATCTGTCTGAACTACTGTTTTCAGTTTTCCTGATCGTGCATGTCATTGGGACCTACTGCTTCAATCTTGCCTGCCTCATCCACCAAAAACTTTCAGTAATGGGTGTGGAACTCACCAGACCAACCATAGTGCTCATGATGCCAGTATACTCCCTTGCACTTTCAGAATCTTGGAATCTATTTTTCAATACAATGTCTTTTAAAAGAAAACAAAATAATGAAAGTGACCAGTGTAAACACAGATTTGCTCCTTACCCTGGCGATTTTTTCGAATCCTTTTTGCTTGCAGGATTTGTTTCTTGCATTCAGATATCTTCTCATGTGCTGCAGCTATACTATTTTCTTTAAAAAAAAAGTAGAGAGTTATATTTAAATCAACCAATACATGTAAACAAACCATTCTGCTAAATTATAAAAAAGAGCTGCTTGTGACATACTGTCCTGCTAGCTCTGCCACCTTCAAAACCATATGGACTCCAATAGGTTAAAAAAGCTTTTATTTGTATCTATTTTATACACTGACAATATGCTTATGGCATATGTATGAGTGCTATGTATTAAGGAGAAAAAACCAAAGCACTCATCATAGGTACACGTTGTGGATAAAGCTTGTTTATAAAAGACAAACCGTCAAACAGTAATATTTTCTCTTCTTTACCTATATCCTTATAGATTTTTTCATAATTTTCCATTTCTCTCAGGTTCATGTCATACACCAGAAGAGTTTTTCCCATTGAAAATTCACACTGTGATAAAGTACTCAGCATGCGTTGGTACTGGCTGTAACTGAAAACAGACAACATATTTGTTTCAAAGCAGCACAAAAATAACCCAAATCTTTACAAAGCAAGAACACAAAGCCTCATGTAGCATATGGAATGGTTAAGTAACAAATATTAAATAAAGAAAATGTTTCAAACAGTCAATGTATAATATTTTGAAAGTGCAGTGAGAAACGTGGCACTCGTGTTAATTCAATTCCACCATCATGTCCTTATTGGTATAAAGTGAGTATTAAAGCAATGGGCAGATTGATCTGGGGCTTATAAACTTCCCAGCTAGGGCTGGCTCTGTGACCACCGAGATTAGTATTTTAATTATTTTAATACTGCAGTGTTTCTCTGTATAATCATTATATTGCGTCCTCCGGGAATTTATATCCGGTATGGACCTCACCGCAGAACACCATGTTGTCACTCATCCCTTACTACTTTACCCTGTTGGTTTTTTGTTGGGGTTTTTTTAAAAAGAAAGAGAACCGCAGCAGCAGAAATTATTGACAGTACTACCCCTCCCTAACAGAATAAATGCAGAACTGCCAACTAAAATACTCGAGTCATGATCCTGTTATAACGGCAGGACTCCCAGATGGATCATGCAGCAGCATAACAATCCTGAAGGTATTTGCGCGGTGCTGGCAGATTTCAGGATACAGCCTGCAGCCTTCCAAAATTTCTGACCCCTGAAGCCTTCAGTAGTTTCTGACACACCTCTAGTCCTTATCTCCTACCACAGTGCTTGGCGTTTGGGCCGGAAACATCACAGAGCCATACCGAAAAGCAGATGAGTACATTTTCACACTGATCTTTTCAAAATGGATCAAGCCCAGTTTTCCCTTGAAATGCGAGCTAATCAGTTCCAAGGCTGAAAAAAAAAAACCAACCAAAACAATCAAGAACAGAAAACAAATACCCTTCCTCTTGGGATCCAGAATTACACCACTTAATGAAACTCTTCACCAACAAATTGATCCGCCTGTCGTCACCAGCACCATCGCCATCGATCAGAAGTCGCTTGCGGATAACTTCATCTGAGGAAAAACTCCTGTTTAATGCCTCACGCTACGGCAGCTGCATCCCAGAGCTGGGCGAGGGTTTCATCCCAGGCCTTCAGGGAACGATTCCCGGGGCTAAAGCGGGAGGAGCTGTTAAGCAGGACGCGTCCCAGGGCCCTGGGCCGGAGCGTGAGGCTGAGGCACCCTGGGGCCCAGACGGAGAGGCCTGGGGGCGGGGGGCGCCCAAGGCCCGGGCGTGCCC